GGTAAGAGAATTGCAAAAATTATTTTTTTATGACAAAATCAAGAGGGAGAAAGAAGAATCGGCATTTATTTTTTCACCTTTCCTAATAAAATAATATAAGAAAGAGACATTCTCTCCTTTGAAAGAGTTCTTTGGAAAGAGAGAAAAAGGGGAAAAGGAGAGAAAGAGAGAAAACATTCTCAAGGTGGAAGATTTTGTCTCGCGACGAATAGCGGCTTGCACAAAAGAAGCTGCACTAATTTGCATAAATTGCGCGGACGGTCGTCGTTTCGCACTTCGCTAACTGGCTTCGCCTGGCTGGTATAGGCCGAGCAACAACGAGGAAGCCGAGATCTTTATGGCAGTGATAAACCTGACTTCTCTCGCTCCGGCTTCGAGTTACAGATGACTACTGGTAGCTGAAAACCATTGCCTCTATACACGGAATGTTTTACACCGCATTTCTGCGTCGCCTTGTCGCAAAAAAAGTTGCGCCATGTCAAATAAATTTCACGCATTTCGACGATAAATATTTTTGTCCATCTCGACCATCAAGTTCTCGGATTAAAGGAACGTGTAAAATTTCTACGCGAAATTAAATAAAGTGTAAGATTTGATTAAAAAGCGGAAGAGCTCTTTTCTCAAATTTAACGAAAGCCAGTTTCGCTTCTAAGGCGTTTATAAGGATGAGAGAGCCATTCGATATTTCTGCGAGGGAAAAAAAAAAAAAAAAAAAAAAAAGAAATCCCCGTATACACACCCTGTGCACTCCCCGATTCTAACCTCGCGCCTTCCATCCCTCTTCTTCGTTCGTTCCCTTCTACATTCGCTGACCTCGCTAGTAGCGAGTCCCCGCAGCTGGTTAGACGCATGAAATAGGACCGCTCGTAAATCCTCGTAACGCCTAACCACCCCTTACCAACTTTTTTCCCAACCCTCTCGCATCTCTCCTCCTTCGGTCTTTCTTCGTATAGCCGCAACGAGTTTACGAGGATTATCAGGATAATAATTGTTATTAAATAGCCGTGGCGTTATGGTCCAAATAGGTTCGGAGGCGTAACTTAATTAATAATGGAACGTTCTGATGCTTTTCTTTCTTTATATCGCGCGAGAACAACTGATCTTTCCAAAATGTAATTTTCAAAGGACGAATAAAAATGAAATGAAATGTATATACATATATACGTGCGCGCTGACAAATATGATTAATACAGCCATTTCAGCGCGCGTATAAAATCTATGCAACGCGAATCCCGGGCTCCATTGGCTGATGAATATATCGGCGACCGACCGCGCATAATTAATAACATATATCGCAAGAGGCACGCGGCGGAAATAGCGACGACGGAAATACACACAAATACGCGTTTAATGAACACGAAATGGAATTCGACTATGAAGTAGCGACGCGGTGAACGTGGAATTCGCTTCAACGCGGAAAACTATAGAGGGAAAAGGGGTTGGTTCTCGTGTGTCCTGGGACAAGCAAGGCGATGCATATTAATCACGGCTATTAATAATCAAACCCGACGCAAAAATCATCGCGCAGTCTCGGCATCCTTCGACTTTATTCATCTTTTGCGCGATTGTCCGGTTTACACGATTCGTCGCTCGCAATTTCAGATCTCTTCACTGAAATATTTCCACGAATTTCGTATTCGTCCAGCTTTCGTGAAAATGTCATTCGATCGTGGCGTATTTATAATTCCGCGTCAAAATATGGTGGGAGAAAAAAAGGAGCAGCGAGAGGGTAATGAGTGGCCTGTAAACTGAAACGCCGTGAAAATTAATTGCCAAGACCTATCCGCCCTTAACCGAACGAAGAGAGAGAGAGAGAGAGAGAGGCCCCGGGGGTGAGCTTCGATCGAACGCAAAATTCGACACTCTCCTGGGTGATGTATGTATAAAACGCTACAACAACCGGATGTCACGGTCTGCCTAATATCCGGCCGATAAGCAAGCTTTTTCGTCGACCGGGTATTCACGGGGCTTTCAAAACGGCGGACGACGGAATTCGACTATGTAAAAGCGCGGGAAGAAATTTCGAGCCGTGAATAAAGAACGTTATTTGCTGTGACGCGTAGAAATCAATTATTTCGAGATACAATTCAAGTTTCTATAAAGAGAGACCGGGCTAAGAGACGGGACGACGTAGAGTCGCTTCTCTCAGCCCATTTTCCCAAAGAAAGATGAAAGGATCGTGGAATTTGAAGGCGCCTTACGCGTCACACGCGTTAGAAAGACGATATTGCATAAAAGTGTCTATTGATTTGAGATACAGCGGAAGGAGAAGCTGCTCGGTCGAGTGAAAGCGGAGAAAAGCGAGTGTAATAAAGCGAGCCGTGAACGAGGCACGCATCTCTCGAAGGAGGCAACGGCCACCGTTACAATGTTACGGCCTTCTTCGATTTCAAGGGGTCGAGACGAGATCGGAGGAAGGTTGCTGCTTGCGCAATACTCGTCGTCGCCTTCGTTGTTATATAGGGACTCGCGAGTCGAGTAATCTTTCCGTTCTCCGCGATCGTTCTCGCTCGATTACGGAACAAAAGCGGCTCTTCTGGAATAAATTAAACGCGCAATTAAATCTCCGGATGATATCGTGTTACGAGTTCGCGTTATACGCGTCCTCAAACTCGTTTCTACTTTTCCTTTTTTCTCTCTCTCTCTCTTTTGATCTTCGTCTCGTTTCTATCTCCATTTCTCTTCTGTCCGGATAATCGCGCGCAACGAACTCTCGACACTATTGTATTCAATATGCAATACGTTACGCGAGACGTCTATTAGATTCTTCGCTTCTTTTTGCGAATATTGCGAGCAGAGAGCGAATTCATATCTATCCGAGTTTAATAAAGCGGCTAATGTTCATTTTTTTTCGAAACGTTCACACTAAAGACCATGAACTTTAGTTACGCGCATATGATTAGCACCTAGAATCCTCATCCTCAATTGCGTATCGATTTAGGTCGAAGAAATTTATATTTTTCTCCTTTGTCCGAAAAAGCTTGTCCCTCGCAGAAAAAAGCTGCAATGAGAAATACTTTCGATGCGTAAGAAGCGATATTTTGTCTGTCCTTTAAACGCATACTGTAACAAAATGCATCGTAGAGAGAAGATGAAGTCAACCAATCAGGGCTGCCGTGGCCACCGGCTGGCCAGACGGCTCCTCGGTAATTGGCCAGTAATTGTGTTTACTAATTGAAATTACGACCGGTTGTACGTAACTCGAGCACACCCCTGACGATATCGGAAAATTTATTGCGACATGTTTGCCGTTGAAGAAAGCACAGCGAGCCGAGGTGGTTATTTTCCACAAACTTATGTTGAAATTTTCGTCAGTTTTCCAAATAATATAGTAATAGCACTCGACAAACATGCGCCGTATTAGTTTAAAAAGAGAAATGTTTAAAAATTAAATTAGAGAGTAATAAAAAATATATATTAGAACAATCTCGCGTAATTAGCGTCTCGCGCAAAATAATTCCGCAGTTTCCTGCGCTGCAATTTTTATGTATAATATAATTAAAAATTGGAATCCACATTTTTGTTTCTTCGTTACATATCATGTACGTGCGTGCTATAGAGAATTTTTAATTGCGATTTACAAAGATGTGTCGCGCGAAAGAAATATAATTATGCATAAATCTCATCAAAGACGCGAGTCTTAATTAAATACGAGAAGCAAATTTATTTCTAAAAATTGTGTGCAGTGGATATATCGCAGTCACGCCTAATAAAAAAAAGTATTACTACCTCGGAAGAGGTAGGTACATGTAAAAAAAAAAAAAATTGATATTTTTAATTTGTTTCACTTTGAAAATGCATTTCTTTCCGGGCGCGCGTCTGCAAAGGCATTTAATTCGTTCAAGAAGGTACTTTACATTATATCGTCGCTTTTACACACCCGCGTAAAGTGATCCGCGAGCGCGATCGAAGTGCAGCGATTTCTATTCCGATCACGTACGCAGCTTCGACCAATAAAACTTTGCCGACTTCCAGAGACCACGCGCAGACGATTCTACGTTCCTGAGGGAGAATAAGGGTCCCTTGAATAGGAATCGAAGCGACCCGCTGGAGAAGAGCATGCCAAAATTCATTTTATCGCGCTACTACCGCTTAACGGCCCATTTCGTTTCTGTGAAATTCGTTCGCATCAAATTTAGATTCCAATTTACAAGGGCTCGTCGAACGTTAAATAATGTCAAAGACCGTCAATTTTGTATCTTCTTTAAAAGAGGCGGAAAAAAAAAACCGCACAGGTAATCAAAAGTCTCTTGCGTCGTTACGGTTTATATAAACGGATATTCGAGGATCAATTTATCGTTGATAATGATTCAACGGATAATAATCGAGTCGATAAGAACAAATCCTCGTCGATAAAAGCAATACGTATTTCAGGTATTAAATGTAAAGTTTTAATTTATTCCAACGCTCCGAATCATCGATATATTCTTGCATCGCAATGTAATAGGATGAGAAGCAGAAAGTGCGGGAAATATTGCGAGAGGATTGCGACGTCGTCGCAATGTGTCGGGCGGGATAGATTTTTAATTTTGCGAATTCTTAATTATTTCCACTGCTACTTTTAAAGTCAAGACGGTCTGGTCGGTCGAACCAACCCCGATACCGCATCGCGACACAATCTCATGCCTGTAATTGAAAAAGGTTGCGGAGGTTGTAGCTTGTCCTTTCTCATTGCGAGAGACAGCGGTAGGAGAGACGCAATCCTCGTTCTCGGCGAATAAAATTCCGCCCACTCTGCGCGGCTCTACGATATTTGATTTCATCCTACTCATTTTTCGCGCAAGATTATTTTCGAAAATCTCCCTTTTTTTCCCTTCGTTCGTCGAGCGAGAGGAATTTTGAAGAGAGACACTTTTGAAAACGCGGTATCGGGATAAGAGTTTTGATTTGTTGCGATCAAATTATATTTATAACCATTTCGCAATAAATCGTACTAGCACGATTATCTCTAACGATGCAATCTTATCTACATACATCTATAAAGAAAGCTTTATTTTTTTGTACTCACTCTTGACAGTAGAAATCACGCGGGAAGATCGCTGATCGTTATCTGAAACAAATATAGAGTACAATTAAATTAAGAGATAACGTACATATTCTTGAGTTTCAATAATACACGAGATATTAATGGACAGGTCAATCTGTATATATCTAAGCATTCATATTTCTGTAACCAAGATATATATGAGAATATACAGATTGATCAATGAATAAATTTCTAAAAAACAATCCGTATAGCCAATAAATAGATTTATAGTCGATCTATCCTCACATTTTGTCGATAAAACAGGACGGAAATCACAGACTTCTCAAGGCCGTTTAGGATCATCTTAAGCATTCATAATTCTATAACCAAGATATATATGAGACTATACAGATTGATCAATGTTTTTCCCGTACAAATTTTAGTATTAATATTAACAAAGAACGAAGCGTTTTAATTTCAGGTAAAAAACAATCCGTATAGCCAATAAATAGATTTATAGTCGATCTATCCTCACATTTTGTCGATAAAACAGAACGGAAATCACAGACTTCTCAAGACCGTTTAGGATCATCTTAAGCATTCATAATTCTGTAACCAAGATATATATGAGACTATACAGATTGATCAATGTTTTTCCCGTACAAATTTTAGTATTAATATTAACAAAGAACGAAGCGTTTTAATTTCAGGTAAAAAACAATCCGTATAGCCAATAAATAGATTTATAGTCGATCTATCCTCACATTTTGTCGATAAAACAGGACGGAAATCACAGACTTCTCAAGACCGTTTAGGATCATCTTAAGCATTCATAATTCTGTAACCAAGATATATATGAGACTATACAGATTGATCAATGTTTTTCCCGTACAAATTTTAGTATTAATATTAACAAAGAACGAGGCGTTTTAATTTCAGGTAAAAAACAATCCGTATAGCCAATAAATAGATTTATAGTCGATCTATCCTCACATTTTGTCGATAAAACAGGACGGAAATCACAGACTTCTCAAGACCGTTTAGGATCATCTTAAGCATTCATAATTCTGTAACCAAGATATATATGAGACTATACAGATTGATCAATGTTTTTCCCGTACAAATTTTAGTATTATTAATTTTAGTAATATTAACAAAGAACGAAGCGTTTTAATTTCAGGTAAAAAACAATCCGTATAGCCAATAAATAGATTTATAGTCGATCTAACCTCACATTTTGTCGATAAAACAGAACGGAAATCACAGCGGACTTCTCAAGCCCGTTTAGGATCATCTTAAGAGGCTTTTTTGCCTCCCTTCGATAGAGAAGAAGAAAAGACACGACGAAAGTTTATCGCTCCGGCTACGGTCGCGCAAAGTTTCGCCGACGCTTTCGACATTAATGACTTAAGTTAATATCGGACGTCGAGCATGATGCATTTTGGCTGCGAGCCTCGTAATATGTATCTCGTCGTTACGTCGCGTCGCGTCGCCGACACGGGCGCGCATATATACGCGCGCGAAAACGATATTTCACACACAGTTTGATGAGCTCCCCGCATTAAGCCGGGGGTAAGTAATTATCGACTGAGCAGTGACCAGGATGGCCGGGGCTCGGCCACTCCCTCCTGGGGTGTCCCAGTGCGTGTCACCGCATTAACCACCCCTATACGGACATCGTTCCCATCAAAGTTCAAACGCTGCATATCTCCGATACGTCATTGTAACCTCTGCACGGCTTAATTAACGAGACCGTTCCTAGCGCCGTGCGCTGACAAGTATTAGTTTACTTCGATATAGCCGATATGTCATCTCCAAAAATACGCGAGTTTATGCGCGATTTCCTACGATTCGACTCCTACGATGCAAAAAGGTTGAAAGTAACGATCCCGAGCGCAATATTTCATCGCGTAGATAGTAATTTACTAATAGCGTGCGTTCAGATTTCCCAAAGAGATATCGTTCATTATCAAGTGGTATAATTCACGATAACGATGCGACTTGTAAAATAGAATGGGATCATCTTCCGAGAAGAAGAGATAGAATACGGGAAGAATGTCTTTTTCGGTATGTCCTCGTATGCATACAATTTATTAAAATTGTAACGTAATTAGACGCGGCATCTTAAACATTTTTCATCCATTGTGTAATCTTGCGGAACATATTCCGTTATCAATTTGATTAAAAGAGTCCCATAAACATAGCACGAACGGATATAACACGGAGACACGAAGACGGGGAAAAAAAAATATCAACACACGGAACCCGGATTGTATGCACGAAACGCTAATTCGTGCTAATAACAGTATGCAATTAATAAAATTGGGTACACGAAAATCCCGGATAAAGCCGACGTTGCATAAATTGCATGGAAATGTTATTTTATCGATAATATTATTATAGCATCAATAAAACATTATAAACATTAATTTACCTTGCTTTTTAAATGGTTGAGTTTGGTGCTACGTAAATTTTCGATTATGCAATGTCGATGCATATAAATTTTCAGGAAACATTTTTTACATTATCATTTTCACGGGAAAAATCGCCGTGTCGCGTGACTTTCTGCGACGCTACAGAATTCTCGAGCATTTAAAAATATCTACGTACCATTTAAAAAAAAAAAAAATATATATTGTGTCATTTTCTTACAACGATTCTCAAACACAACTTTTTTTCTGAAACATGACATTTGCATCTTTTTTATTATACCAAAACATATGACATCACAGAAAAAAGGAATCCCTGATTCAAGTATACAAGAATTATTATATATACTTGAAAGTACCGCTTATATCCGATGCTCACTTGTCCTTGCAATATTTATAAGTAAATTTCAGCTTCAACCAAGAATATTTTGCACTTTATTTTAAGGATAAATTATCCTTTATCCAAAATTATTTATCTTTGGCGCTATTATAAGGATAAAATATACTTGAATCAAGGCATATTTGCATTCTTTCAAGGATACTGTTTTATCTGTGATTCATTTAATCCAAATCAAAAATTAGGATTTAAGTAAATTTCAGCTTCAAGCAAGAATATTTTGCACTTTGTTTTAAGGACAAATTATCCTTTATCCAAAATTATTTATATTTGGCGCTATTATAAGGATAAAATATACTTGAATCAAGGCATATTTGCATTCTTTCAAGGATACTGTTTTATCTGTGATTCATTTAATCCTAATTAAAAATTAGGATTTAAGTAAATTTCAGCTTCAACCAAGAATATTTTGTACTTTGTTTTAAGGACAAATTATCCTTTATCCAAAATTATTTATATTTAGCGCTATTATAAGGAAAAAATATACTTGAATGATAGCATATTTGCATTCTTTCAAGGATACTGTTTTTTCTGTGATTAAATCGATGACACGTTTAAGAAAGACTCGAAGCTACTAACAATAAGACAAACTTTCGAGAAACTAGCGAGAAACACTGGATTTGATGCGGATTAGAGAAAGATCGGAGCAGAAGTCATATTGGGACCGATTTGACCGGTAACCTCGTTAAACTTGGAGGGAAGTGCCACTCCTTTCTCCCTCGTGGCTCGCAATCAGTCGATTCTCCACGGCGTGACGTCCAAAGCTTCCTCTCGAATTACCACCGAGAGAACGGTCTGGCGTTCTCCGCCAAAGTCAACCGTATCTCGCTTCCTTCGTTCGCCGAAAAAAAGGAAGATTAAGAGACAATCGGGAATCGAGAGCTCGCGTGTCTTCGGAGAGTTTCGTGACGGTTCCTAAATCCGAGTTCCTTAATCCGCGTTAATCAACTTCAGAAGCTATAGTGTGTTAAAGCTTCCAATTTCAAACGGAAATAAAAAAAAAAAAAAATCATTCCCACAAACTTATTAAACATTTGTCGAGCTTGCACTTTTCCGAATACAAAGTCTGTAAAAGAAAAAAAAAAAAAAAAAAAAATTGCGATCGTCTTTTTATCAGCTAATAACATCGACGCGACGTTACACCCGAATATCCACTTGCTTTGTGAGCCGCGAGGAGATTCACAATATTAGTTCCTCTCGGTAGACGTAACAAACGCACACACAGGTAGGGGTTATTTTATTCCTCTGTTCCGCGTGCGCGAGCGAAGAAAGAAACCAAAGGCTCGCGGCAAAAGCGAAGCGAGACGACGAGGAGAGACGGGGAGAGGTCGGCACAGGAGGACATTATGAAAGTATTTTCCTAACCGACTGGCAAAGCCCCGAAGACATTTATCCTGCGAAAAATGAAGTAAAATAAATATAATGTAAAAGGCAAACCGCGATGTCGGGTACCAAAGAGTACGGTGGTGCGCCACATAGGCAGGCCGTTTCTCTTCCTCTTCCGCCAAGTCTCTCCGACTTATTTTCGTGTCCTCCTCGCAGCGAGCTTCTCTCGCAAAGAGACGGAAGAACCGGGGGATAGGACGAAGGGCGATCCCTTCCTTCCCTCTATTCGCGAGCTGGTACAACCAGAAGGTAACGGAAAATGAAGAAACGGCTGATGGAAGGAGAAGGAACGAGGGCGAATCTCCAATGGCTCGTTTTGTCTCTTCGAGGAGATGCTCGTTTCCCTCCTGCCGTCCCATCTTCTCAGCCCGCGGGGATTTTTCCTTCTTCGTGCTCCTTTTATATGCCTCTTTCAATATGCTCTTCTAACCCTCCTCCACCTTCTCTCGTCCGCTCGCACCGGTCACGGAGCTCCACTTTTCAACTTGACATTTTTAATTCTTTTTTTTCTCTCTCTTCCTTGCCTTTCACGTAATCGTCTTACCGAGAGAGCAACCGAAGCAGCCATTCGAGAAACGCGCGCGCGACGCGATACGCTTCTTTCTTTCTCGGCAATTCCTCTACGATCCGGCTACTTTTCGCCAGTCACCAGTTGGCGAAATGTCTTCGGTCGACGATTCCGCGCTTTGCACTCGTGGATTTGCTTCCTCGTGTTGTCAGAGATGGCAATTTCATTCTCCGCGGCGAAGAAAGATTCTCAAGTACAAAATGCCCGCGAAAAAATCCGAAATAATGAATTCGATAAGCCGGATATAATTCGGACATGTAACATATTTATATAGAGAACATTGCAAATTATTGAGCGAGATGCC